TGGCTCGTGCCTGCACCCAGGTGCCCGCCCTGGCCTCCGGGCGCCCCGCGCACACCCACACCCGCGCCGCGGGACCCCAGTAAACCCGCTGTCCACCCGACATCTGGCTGCTGGGGACCTCGAGTGACCGCGGAGAGCCACCTCATAGCCAGGAACCTGGTGCTGCTTCCCACGAGCCAAGGGCCAGGGGACCGTTTGGGAAGTCTGCTTTATGCCCCCACCCAAGTTGGCGTGTCCTTAGGTACCGAGCGTGTGCCCGCCACTATGCCAGCTTCCACATGTACAGCTAATGTCCCCTATGGCCTTAGTAGCATTATTCCCATTTCACCGACGTGGACACTGAGGCTCAGGGGACAGATAACTCGGACACGGTGAGTTGCTCAGCCAGGATCGGGCCGTATCTCTTCCCGCCACCCCGTGGTTGGCATATTCTGGGCCGTGATAGGGCTTTACCGGAGGCGAGGCCCCGCCCACCTTCCCCCTTGTCTTCCCTTCCTCACTCTGGTGACCTCCTCTGGCCAAGAGGAGCATCTCTGAGACCATCCCTACTCCACGCAAAGCGGCTGGAACCTGGTGGGAAATGAGCTTTGGACACTTCGTGTGAAGCGGCCACAGGGGCGGGAGGACGGGACACCCAGCGGTGAGGGGCAGGGAGAGCTGGGCTGCACCCTACCGTGAGCGCCTAGCGGCCGCCGGCCATACCCACCATAGTTAAGTTCTGTAAAGTCACTGAATCTGTGAACACAGAGTCACCAGTCCTAGGGGAAACTCAGGGTTAGGTTCCTGCCAGCCTCTGGTCACATTTTTGTCAATCCGTCGATACATAACCTTATTTTATGTGTGTCTCTTTCAAAACATCTTATTTCGCCACTTCGGACCTGCTCTTGGGGGCCCATTTGTAAACAGCGAGACCACCAACAGAAAAGACAAAAATCGTGACACGTGGCCCTGCCTAGACCATAGAAGGCCCCGGGCTGGTAAGAAGGCGGAGTGCGGCCTCATTCTGCCTGCACTGGAACCCCTCATCGAGTGACCACGAAAGGGCTGCACCTCTTGATTTGGGGGCTGCAAGTAAATTTTAGCAAGTAGGTGAATTCACACACCTGGAACGTGCAATTAATGCATCTCACGTCAGGGGAGCAGGGGACAAACGAGGGCATCTGAGGCACCGGGGAGGCCCCCAGCTCTCTTCCAGACACTTGACTCCCGTCAACTCGGTCATCACGCACAGCCGTTGCTCCGTCTGACCAGGGAGGGGACTGACGCTCCAAGGTCTGACCCCGCACGCTCTTAGCAACGAGACGAGAGCAGCGCTCACGACATTCACAATCGAACGCCAGCCCTGCCCGCAGCGTCACGGGCATCTACTGCAGAAACCCCATGAATATTCAAGGTGAAATGGAGAATTCAAAGAGATATTATGCTCTGCAGTGGCCAGCTGCGTCGAGCCGAGTTCCCAGTGCCTACAACTCAGGAAAGGCGCCGGAAAGGCCTCTAGAGTTGGAGCGGGGGGTGGGTAGTTGGGGACTTTGAGCTGCTCTGCTCTAAGGTAGAAATGGCCAGCAGCACTTCCTGTCTCTTTTCCACTGGGCACTTTGGGTTCCTGAGCCAATCTCCCTCCTGCCAGTGCCCCACAGCAGGTATGGAGGCCATGGCCGAGCTTCTCTCTGCACGATCTGCATAGCATCAGGCCAGCGCCCTCGAGAAACAGCTGGTCAAGAGTAAGAGCAGAGGAGAAGCCATCGCCAGCACCTCTGATGGAAGTGACACCTTCCTATTCACCTGGCAGGCCGGGCAGTCCTATGTGGGTAGCTAAGACGCTGTGAGCTAGGATGACGGAGCCGTGGAGGGCGGCCTGCACTCGGGGAGGGCCGGCTGGTCCTCACAGGTCCTGTCCCCAGAATCACCCCCTAACCACCCCATTGGAACTCGCCTTCACCACTCTGCCCAAGTGTAGACACAGAGCCCTTCCCTCAGTCACCCACCAACTCTCCCCTCCCACCCTTCGTCCTCTCCCCTGAGGCCTGGCCAAAATGTTTAACGAGAGTGTGGAGGTGGGGGATGCAGACGCCCACCACTCCGTCTACCTCGAGGGGTTCAGACCCCCAGTGAGACTACCCACCACCAGTCAGTGCCTTTCAACTCTGAGAGGGCTGAGAAACCAAGTTCCATTTCCTCCCTGGGACCCAGACTCTTGAGTTCCTGGTTTCCATGACCTGTCTCAGGCTCTGTCTCATTCCTGCATGAGTTTCAGACATTTCTACCCCTCTGCCCAGCACCACCGGCCGACCCCAGCCAGACAGGCACGACAGAGCAACCTTTGTATGGGAGGGACGCCGAGAGGACCAGGGAAGGTACCCCCTGGTGATGCTGGAGTCGGGGTATGTGGGTATTCTACCCTAAGAGGGCCAACTTCGCTTTGGCACATCGGCCTGAGTTTGTTCTGGACACCGATTGGCTCTTCCTGGTTGCAGGTCTCGTGAGGGGGACTTGGGAAGCAGGCCCGAGCAGACTCTGTCAGAAAAGGAGTGTGTGCAGGCCAATCCTGGGAACCCTACAGCTGACTGCAGGAGGCACAAAGGACGCGTTCTCAGCCAAGGCCGCCAGGAGATACCAGGCTGGGCATGTTAGGTGAGCGGGTGTCTGAGGGGTGCGGGATTGTGTGGGGAGTGCAGGGGAGGACAGGGCTCGCAGGTGCCCCAGGGGAGACTAGCCCTCTCCTGGTCACTAGAGGCCCAGGAGCAGAAGCTACAACATAGAGCTGCCCTGTTAATGCAACAGGACTGGGTCCTGGTACCCACTTGCCAGTTGGTCATTGCCTCCCCTGGAGCTGGGTGGCGCTGTAACCTGCTCACAGCTGTCACAAGCCAAAAACAACGCCTCAGAGGAGGTCTCGGGTGCAAGCCCTGAGCTGCACACCTGCATAAGCCAAGGGATGGGTGTACACACCTGCATAAGCCAAGGGATGGGTGTATCTCCTCTCACAGCTGTCACAAGCCAAAAACAACGCCTCAGAAGAGGTCTCGGGTGCAAGCCCTGTGCTGCCACACCTGCATAAGCCAAGGGACGTGTGTACCTGCTGGTAAAGGGTTCCCACCTCAGCAGCATCTACTGTCCACAGCTTCTCAGGTGTCCCCGGCCCCACACAGGAAGTGCTCGGGTACTGGTGGTGGTCTTCCGCCTGTGCAGAGTGGGGTGCTTCATAAAACAAGTTCAAGTCTTCGTCCGGCTACTCTTCTGCCT